GCTGTGAATTGTGCAAGACTGTTGAATCTCAGATCTGTCCCTCTGAAACAGTGCAATATATGAAAAATAAAATAAAATAATAAAGATGAGGAGCCTGAGACCCAGAGCCATTAGACTTAATCTAAGTCACAATTGGTTAGGGGTAAACCCAAAACCAAAACCCAGGAGCTTTGATGTTCAATCCAGAGTTTTCAGTTCATAAATGTGTATGATCTCAATACCTCAGTATTCCACATTCTCTCCCATGGCAGCTTTAATAATATTCCTTCATCCATTCAGTTTTGCAGTAGAGTGAAAGACATGCTAATACAGTATGAGGATTTATCATGTGGATCATATTGCTTAAGGATCAAGAGGGAAGAATGGGGCAAATTAAAGCAAATCCAAGGGGACCTTAAAACCCTAACAGGAGGGCGCCTGGGTGGCTCAGCTGTTAAGCGTCTGCCTTCGGCTCAGGTCATGATCCCAGGGTCCTGGGATCGAGTCCCACATCAGGCTCCCTGCTCAGCGGGAAGCCTGCTTTCCCTCTCCCACTCCCCCGCTTGTGCTCCTGCTCTCGCTCTCTCTCTCTCTGTCAAATAAATAAAATCTTTAAAATAAAAAAAATAAACCCTAACAGGAAAGGCTGAATATAGTATCATCAGAGATAATGATGATGACAGTGATAATGATGTTGATGATGGCCTTGATGATAGAAACGAATAAAGAAGGGGAGGAGTAGGAAGAGAAAGCTAACATTTATTGAGGCTTGTGATTCCAGGGTTTAGTCTGATTCTTTCTGAAGGCACAATGTTTTTTCAAACTTACACTATCAACTCTGTTATCTGTATAGAATTCTTCTATGACTCCCTACTCTCTACCTTGCCCCCGTTCTGGATTCTTACCCTGTGACCTTGAATAGGTACATTTTCCTAGCCTTATTTATCAGTCTTTCATAGAGAAGTAAAAAGCATTTATAATGGCACCTACGATGTAACAGGTGTTTTGTTTTGTTTGTTTGTTTCAGAGTTTAATTTAACCCCAGTGACGGCTATAGAAAGGCATCCCTCCCAGAAAGACTTCTGTGCCACCTGGGAGTTTTGGCAACCTTGGTAAAAGTACTCATTGACAGCTGTATGGCCCTAGGAAGTGAAGCAAAAGAGAAAGAGCAGAGGAGAGAAAAAGAGCTCTAAAAATTCCCAGAACAGTAGTTTTTGATCAAAATCTTTTTTCCCCAAAACATATTTCTTTGTTTCCTATTTTGCCCAAATAATATGACCACTAACTGAAATGACAATGTTCATAGGCCACAGTTCTTTTGATTACACTGTAAATTTATCAGCTCTATTTTCCATGAGTGAATCAAGTCACTAATAAAGCTAGAAATGAGATAATGGGGGAAGAAAATAGATAGGACCAGACTACTGGGTACCAAGGCTCCAGTGCTCACTCTAATTCCAACTGCTGGTCTTTTTGAACCTTTTTTATTTGTTATTTGAGGGCAGGAATTGGGTACATTGATAGCATTTCATTATTCAATTGTTATAATCACTAATTGATTAATTAGCTAATTCATTTAATGCCAGACTTGTGGGATATAAAGAGCATTTTTTTTAAAGATTTTATTTATTTATTTGACAGAGAGAGAGAGACAGTGAGAGAGGGAACACAAGCAGGGGGAGTGGGAGAGGGAGAAGCAGGCTTCCCGCGGAGTAGGGAACCCGATGCGGGGCTCGATCCCAGGACCCTGGGATCATGACCTGAGCTGAAGGCAGACACCTAACAACTGAGCCACCCAGGTGCCCCAGGATACAAAGAGCATTAAACTTGGAGTCCGATGATAGGGTTGAGCCCTGCAGTAAAGAACAAATTATTTAGCTTCTCCACACTTTAGTTTTCTTGTCTATAAAGGTAAGGGATTATAGGGCACTATGGGAAAAAACCTTTGCATGCTTATTCTATAAAATCTGTAGGGTTGAAGTTTGGGCTATGACTTCAGAATGGCCTCTGAACTGACCACCAAAAGACCAAGTAGATTGTCCCTGTGACTGAGATTCTGACTTGCAGAATGGAGAATTTGGTTTTTCTCTTGTGGGAGACCAAGAGACGACCTATGGAGGTCAGATACAGTGGGATTCAACAGAAAAAGAAAGTAAGTGGCATCTGACTTCTGTGAGCTTGGGCAAGGTCCTTCACTCCCAGCCTCAGGATTCCCAACTCTACTTTGAGGTGGCAGGTCTGAGTCCCATTTCAATGGGACCAAGAGTCTCATACTCTCTGTTTGGTGAACTGCAGTGAAGGATAGCAACTCAATCCAGCCATGCACTCCGTAAGGAACGATTTGTGCTGGCTTGGGAACCAGAGAACCTATAAATCAGAGGTGCAAAGACACGAGTATGAATGACAAAACTCATTGAACATTTCCTCCTGCGGGGTGTCTCTCCATGGGTTGTGTGGCACTTACATTCATTCTTATCTTTTTCATGGACCTCGATTTCTAGAATTCATGATTTTACATATAATTGTGCTTGATTCGCTTCCTGTTCTTTCAGGGCATGGGCTGTGTGTTTTTCCTCTTCCTGTCTCTCCACGCCTTACATAAAATAGACATGAATTGTCCCTCTGTTGGATGAATTCATTCATTCATCTATAGCAGCAGCAGTGTGGTCCAGGGTGGAGTGAAGGAAAGAACATCAGGGTCAGAGGTCTGGGTCTTGCACTGTGAATTCCTTGCTATATGAGCCTGGAAACCCAAAGTAGCCTCTCAGCCTCAGCATGCCAGGCCTGTGTGGCCTACCTCCTGGGTGTCTGTGGTAACTAAATAAACTCACCCCAGTGAAGCTATGGGATACAATGCAAGTAGAGGGGATAAAGATTACAACTACACCAAAACACTGAGACATAGGAATAAAGAAGAACGTATGCAAAATGTCGGACAGTGATTTTGTTAGGATCTTGGGATTATAGGTGATTTTTTTTTCATTTCTCTATTTTTCAAATATTCTGAATCATGAAATCCTTTTTTTAAAAAATGTAATGTCTTGTTATTATTGGCCAGGTCTTCCTGATTTCCTTGGAAAGTCCTCTCCTGCTTTCCTCTCCAAGGCCAACGCCCCAGCCCAGGCCCTCCACACCCCAGCCCAGTCTCCCTATTCCAGCCCGCAGTCCACCCTGCATCTGAAGCCAGCCCCGCCTTCCCCCACCTCTGCTATCATCACAAAAACCTCCGTCAGCTCCCTTTCTTTTTCTCTCTCACATCAGAACCCACTCCTGCACCTGACCTTCAGCTCCATGAAGGGGTGACTACACATTCTTTCCAGCCACTCCCAAAGCATCTTCAGCTCCAGTTGGCCAATCTTGACACTAGTTTAGGGTCACAGCAAAGAGGAGGCTATTGCCAGCCAGAAAACATGTGTAGTTTGGCTCACAGAGTATTCTTATAAAGTTTGAGCCAAAGTTTAAAAACGGTGATTTCAGATAAAAACCCAAACTTCAACTTTTTTGTTTTAAAAATAGGAACATCTGGCAATGCAGATCCTCCATTCCCTCACGGCTACAGTGTGGAAACAGTTGACAGGAGCTGAGTAGCAGCTACCCCCTTGGTCGGGGCCTGCGGTCCCACCACTGACAGTAGGGCCTCTACTGACCCACAAGGCACCTTCAGGAAAAGTAGAGAAAAGCATTTCTTCCTCTGAGCAGAAGCAGCCCCACCCAGAAGGCACAGCTTGGCAAGCCCAGCAAAAGGCTGGATGGATTTTGGCCTCTACTCTCCAAATGAGCTGGAGTCTCTCATTAACAACCCAGCTGGTATGACCGTAGACACCAGCTCTGCCCCCACAACAAAGGCAGTTAGGTGTCTGGCCTCTGTAGGCTCACATATTAAAATGTCCACAATAATGGCCATCTGGGCTCCAATTTCATTTGTCTGTGGTACTCTCCGCCCTGCCATCTGCTTTGTCTCCACACGGGCTTCCCTCCATCACAAGATGGCTGCCAGAGCTGAGTGCTGCCTGCCTCTTCATTCACCTGCAGATGGACAGAATGTCTTCCCATACCCCTCAAGTAAGAGCCCTGAGCTACAGTCTGAATGAATCACTTCTCAGCCAACTTACTTTAGCCAGGACAATGCCAGGCACTAACTGGCTCGGGTTTAGGTTCTCTGAACAATTCACTATAGCAAGGCAGTTGGTGATTTATCCCAGTGTTTCTCAAGGCAGATATTAACATTTTGGCCAATTTTAGCTGTGCCCTAGTAGTGCATCTCCTGCAGTACATTTAGCATATCTGGCACCTCTCGATCAGATACCAGCCACATACCCTAGTTGTTGAGGTAACCAAAAATGCCCACATGCTAGTTGTATCTAGACACTTATGCATCTGGAGGTCTGACCAAACCGAATGGGCTTCAACACAATAGGGAAGAGTGGTTCCTTAAAAACAAAGTCTGGGCCTATTAGGAAGATGGGAAAGTAGGAACAAATTCTGGGAGGTCAATCCACATACATTCACTACACTTTCTTCTAGGTGGGAGAGAAGATAAAAGAGAAGAAAAACTATGGCTGCTAAATTTTTAACCTGCGATTTCTGCCTCAGATGTGCCCCCGGTTACTATGGAAACCCCTTGCTGATTGGAAGCACCTGTAAGAAATGTGACTGCAGTGGAAATTCAGATCCCAACCTGATCTTTGAAGATTGTGATGAGGTCACCGGCCAGTGTAGGAATTGCCTACGCAACACCACGGGATTCAAGTGTGAACGCTGTGCCCCTGGCTACTATGGGGATGCCAGGATAGCCAAGAACTGTGCAGGTACGGTACTGTAGATCGTGGCCAGCGTGTACACTGAATCTAGATGGATCGATGTTGGGGAGATACTGCAAGTGTCCCCTTGTCACTTTTGCAGGGCAATGTGCATTCTTAGGAATGTGCACCCCAAACTCACCAGGGGTAGATGATTTATCAAGGTTACTGGTACAACTTAGCTCATGGGTAGGATAAACCATGAGACAGTCACACAAATGAACTTTCACCTTATCTTATATTCTTCCGATTTTGATCAAAGAAGTAAATCAGACTTCCATGGATTACCTATCATTGACCAGAATTTTGAATGAAAATTTGCAAGATTTACCTCTGTTTTCTTATTCTGGAAGCTATGTCCCTTTTACCAGTTGTGATTGGTAAAACTGACTTCTTAGTGAAATAGATTAGCAAGCCAAGGGTACAGTTTAGTCAGCCCCCAATGTCCTCAAATTGTCAGGGTAAATATTGCAGGGACAGTATAAGAAATCTTCCTGGTTAAACTTCAGTTAGACTAAAATGTACAAATTTTATTCATGATTTCTCTAATCCATTTGCTGAATAGAGTGAAGCTCTTCAGAAATAAAGTTAAATCACCTTCCTCAGGGCAAAGGAAGGTTGAGACTGAATATTTCTTACTCTTTTGTGACTGAGAGGGAACAGAGTGAGGAAGAGGCATTGTATTCTTGTGGCATGCTTCTACTGGAATCCCCTCACTGAAGCAGATTCCCACCTGAAAAGATTTTAAGAAGTAAAGAGTTTAAAGTTGAGAAGAAGGCACATATGAGCTTCAGAAGTCACAATAAAAGTGAACATGTCTACAAGAAAGCCAAGTGCACTGAGGCATAAAACCAGAGACAAGAGAGGAGTTCTGTGTCCAGTCAGGCAGGCATCCAAAAGAGTATTGGCAAAATCAAAGCCTTAGACATTGATGCTCCAATTCTCAAAACATTTACTAAACACGTTAAACTACATAGATGCAGGTCACTCTTAGAAAAGATGCCAAAGTTAGAAGCAATAAAGTATGATCTTGCTGAATTGTTTAATAAATCTACATTTTGTGGAACATTACACAGCTGAAATGTAATAAATGTGCATCCCTCATGAAGCTAATTTTTTATGATGATTCTTTAGAGACAGTTAAGAGGTGGGGGAGAATTCACCATACTATTCCAGCTCATGGCTAGCATAAATAGCTTAGGAAATCTTTTTTAAATATTACAAATGAATTGCTACTGAGAAACTCAATGGAAAATGAACAATCTGATAAGATCGGGGTTTTTGTTTTTTTTCCAAAAGGCATTCTTGAAAATCATCAGTAGATTAATAATGGGCTCTCAGGTCTTCTAAATTCACGTAAATATGTTCCCGATTCTTTCCACGACATTATTCCTAGTCATCCCACTGATAGCTATCATTTGGAGGTTTGGAGTCAGCCTTGCCAAGGGTCAAGCACCGTGGGAGCCAAAAATCGCTCTTGAGCCTCCTCCCTCCCTCCCTCCCGCTGCACTGTTCCTACCTCACACCTGGCAATGATCAACCCTGGAGTTGGATTAAACTGGAGAATCAGTCTGTGATGAAAGGAAGGCTCTCAGATTCCAGTTGAATGATGGGTTCCGGGATCATTTTGTACTTTGTGAAACTTCCCAGGATCTTTTTGGACTGAAGCAATTGTAGAGTCATGTCAGAATCCCAGAAAGTTGGGAGAGGAGTCCTAGAAAATGTAGATTTACTTTGCCCCAGGGCCGCCTTTGAAAATCTCCCTGGGCTGGGTTTAATTGGGTGAGGGTCATAATCTCTAGATCACGGACTCTACACCGTCATGAGGAAGAATATAATTAATCCCCGTTGGAAGAACTATATACTGATAGCCAGTATTTCTAGAAACCAGGAAAACATTGCCATATTTTAAGCATTAAGAAACAAATCCCTAACCTCTTGTTTTTGTTTCCTACAGTGTGCAATTGTGGGGGAGGCCCATGTGACAGCGTAACTGGAGAATGCTTGGAAGAAGGTTTTGAACCCCCTACAGGCATGGACTGCCCAACCATAAGTAAAAATAACAGTACATGATTGACTAACCCCACTTTCTCTAATGTGCTGCAGGTGTAGGATTAAGAAGAGCTATGCAATTCCCTCTCTAGAAACCCCCTAAGTCCCCCTCCCGGCTTTAACCCTGTCTGTGCCTCCACCAAGGGGACCCTAAGCGGAAGCTACTTGATTCCAATTGGTAAAATGGGTGATTTACACTGAAACAACTCTACTTTAGAAAATTTATTTTATGAAGCCTTTAAATTCAACATCTTACCTCGCGGGTAAAGGCAGAATCAGAAGAGCAATTCCTAGTGACCGAGTTCATTTTAATTCCTCTTTCTATATTATCTCTTCATATCCTCAGATAATGTGATATACAGACAATGCTTTACAACACTAGGGAAACCAAGACACTAAGCCACTTAAGTGGCTTTTCCCAAATCACTCCAAAACGGAAGTGGCAGCAGAAAGAAAATGTTCAGGCCTATGGGATGGAGCTATTGTCTTACTTTCCTGGATTTCTCTGCCATTCCTATCAATCAAATCATGAGCAGTCCTGATGGTGCAGGAGCCAGCTGAAACACTTCACAGCAAATGCCCAGAGCTGGTCTTAACTTCTCAGGCACCCTTCAAGCCCTTCTTCTAGAAAAGGCTATGACTGATTCTTAGGATTTAAGGAAACGTTTGCCTTAGAAAGCCCTTTACTGAGAAAATAACTAATATTTGCCTTTAAGTAGAGTGGTTTAAAGACTATTTTAACTTTAGGTATCCCCTCCCCCAGACGAGAGTATCTTGGTCTCTCGGTGCCTGTAAGCACAAGAGATTAATGTTATGGATGATTCACATCTTAGAAGATGGCACAGGATGTGAGGCACAAGCAGGGCAAAGTTCACACACTGATCAGCAAGGTCATTTTAAGGACCTTAAATGATGTGCTGGCTGGGGAGCCATTCCTTTAAGATAGCATGTCCATAAGACCGTATTAAACTTCAAATAACAAATTAACACATTAACAACTATTAACACTTCAGTCTTCATTTATTCGTTCTCTGGAAAAGAGAATAGTCTGAGGAAAAGAGATTGGGAACAGAAAAGCTTCAGAGAGTGGTCAAGACCGGTTTCAAAGCACGGTCTGCTGTCCTTCTGAGTATGCCGCAAGTGGGCACTGGGCCCCCCAGGAGCAGCAGGGGGTGGGGGGGGAGGGAGAGGACAGCGGTAAGCGGAACTCAAATGTGAAATGCAAGGAGTGGGGAGAAGCTACGACCTACTTCACCATATGCCCAGACTGAGCAGATATTCACAGTGACATTGTACAGACCCCCTTCTGGCTGAAGTGTTCATCCAGACAGGAGGTCAGGCCATGCGGAGGCGCTGAGCCACCCCTGGGATAGGAATAGGAAAGAGGGGGTGCCTACCAAACAGCTTCGCCAGTGGGCACTAAGCAAAAGCCTGACATGAAGAGAGCCATCCCAGAGGGTTGTCCCACCACTAAGGAAAAGTGGAGAGCGTGCTTCTCCTCCCCCACCCACCGTGCAAATGGCTTGCCCTTTTATGCTTCCTTCCTTTCTCAGTTCAGCGATTGGTGTCCACAACAGCCTACTTGTCCTGTTGCACGCCTTGTTCATTTTGTTATGTTTTAAGTGGGGATAGTGCCCGATGTACAGTTTGAGTCATCTTAGACTCCAGTGTGCTTTGAGTGTAAGGACTGATTCTGTGACCCAGAACAGTTCCTCAGGAAACAAGCATAAAAATAATATTAACCAAGAAAGTATACATAATGATCTACTAGAGCACGTGCTTCCCCGCTGACTTTCAGTTTTAAAGAAGTAACATGTCCGTTTTACCTCCAGGCTGTGATAAGTGCATCTGGGATCTGATTGATGACCTTCGATTAGCAGCCCTCTCGATTGAAGACAGCAAATCTGGTCTGTTGAGTGTCTCATCCGGTGCGGCTGCTCATAGGCACGTGAATGAACTCAACTCCACCATCTTCCTCCTCAAAGTAGGCAGCCATGTTGTACCTTTAGCTGGATCTCATGCTGGTCTTACAGGACTGCTCCTAGAACTCCTATCCTTTCTATCATCTCAGTCCCATGGCTGTATTACAGATGGGTTGTTAGACTAGGAAATGAGAAAAAGTTTATTGTAACCATGAGCTTCAGGCCAAAACAAGAGCAGCCATCTATAAAAGAAATTAATGTGGAGAATGTAACAACTAAAACAAGCAGTATCTATGTACCAATCTACAAGGGAAGGAAAACACTCTTATTTCCTTGGTAAAAATGTGCATTGGTTATTCAGGTCCTTACCACAAACTTACCATTACCTTAACCTCAATTTGCAGTGCTTTGAGGAGTTTCTCTAGAAACCTCTCTCCTGCTCACTCTCTCTCGCACACTTACCTTTCCTTCTTACTGACACACAGTCTCTCTCATCTTCCCACACACACACACTGAAGCACAGACATACATGCTCAGTGTCTCCTCACAGGTCTAGTGGTTAATATCTAATAAACAGTCAAAAACAAACTGTAACAGTGCTGCTGTATCTAAACTGTTGTTTTTTTTTTTTAAGATTTTATTTATTTGACAGAGAAAGAGACAGCAAGAGAGGGAACACAAGCAGGGGGAGTGGGAGAGGGAGAAGCAG